ATTTTATTATCTTTCTTCAGTCTACCACTGTGTTCGGAATAACTTGTCACTGTCTTTCATTGGCTTCTCTAAGTTACAAACAAATTTTAAAGTAATATTCAGACATTTAGTATTTCCAGGATCTAGCATTCCAAAAACATGGTGCACAGGATTGGAAAATCTATACACTTATAAAAACTCAATAGATACAACTTCATTGCCAAAATTTTGTGTCACAATTTCCCAGCAGCCATTTTGACGCCCCTCTAAAACCAACAACAAAATCGTACAAGAAAGTTTGTGTAAGCTCTTCCTGTGAAATCAAAATCAATACCTTAAGTGATCTGTCGAACAGTACACACAGTAGAGCCTCTCCATAACTTTCTTTCAAATCATCATCATCATCATCAAATGCCATATCTGTGGCAGACATCGGCGATCATGGCTCTCCATTCATTTTTTTGTTTGAATGCTCTTAAAAAAGCTATAAGCCTATACTATTACCCTGATCTTTCCCCAACCCATTCAGTGGCGACCAGAAATGGCATGGTTATAGAATTGTTCTGTAGTGGTGTAATTGAGTATTTATGCATGTAAATGTGTATGTATTCATGTATGTCTGTATTTATAACTATATATGTATTTATGAACGTATGTTTGCCATTGTAAACCACATTACCATATACTGGGATCAATAAAAATGTAATTTATTAATTCTTTATATTCTTTATTATTCTTTAAAATCACCACATGGAAAATTTTAAAACAAAAAAAGCCGTCACTTCCACATAAGCAGAGAACACTGCGATTCCTCTTTTCAATGGAGCATGTCTATGAGCCGACAGCAATCCTCTTGTTCATGTTATGTGTCAGCTTTCAGAACATCAGCTTATTCTGTCACTAGCACAACACAGTTCTGCCACCGTTCCTTTACAACACAAGCACAGGTGATTCAAACAACTGGCATTCGTCATTTACATACACATTTACAGCACAGTAAAAAACAATCCCAATGCAAGACTTGAGTTAATACAATCAATTTAAAAATCTATTACAAGGCAAGCATGCCAAATTACATGACGATGGTGTCGGGTGCAAATTGGCGACGTCAGAGGTTCCCACGTGTCTTATTTGTTGATCACAATTGTTTTCTTTGTTAAATCCTTTATTTGGAGTAATATTAGTTTTTGTTTCAGTAAGCATTTTATGGCACTTGCAACAAAATTAGGTCAAATAAGTGCCAAAGATTGGAGGCGTTACAAGACAATAGCAAACACAAAAAAAGGGCAGATAAGGACGATAGATGTTTGATAGGGCAGACCACACCAGAGCACCTGCCAACCACCCACGTAATAATAATTAGCTGATGTTCCTCATAAAACCTGATCACCCAGCATTGGTTTTTATTCCCTCTGCACAAATTTTTGGTTCTCCTCAGAAAATATTTCCTATGACTGGGTCAGTTTACACCCCGACACCATCAATAAGACAAGACCAGACTCGGGCGCAATACGCATTATATGTACACCACAGAAAGGGACAGAAATGAACACATGATTGACAATGCCAACTGTTTTTTGTTGAAAAGATGAGACAGTATCCAAGGGCAGAGAAACGATGATGGTCATGACAAGAGGCAAGTGGAAGAAAGAGTGGCCCTAGTTCTCTCGCATCAGTCCAAAACTCGCATAAACAAAATAAAACTTCACTTACACAACTTATCACATCTATGCACTCCACATTCATGCACCAAAAGAAAAGATTACAGTAGCCATTTAAGTATTAGGACTATGAAACCGTACATCACCCTGAATAAGACATCCATTAGAAACAATGGTGAAAGGAAATTCATAAGGGCACGATGCAGCAAACTCAACTTTTTGACATAACAGAGGAAAGAAAGTATGACACCCAACCTGCAGAAAATAAAGCTAATTTACAAAAGGTCCTGAATAAAAGCCTTAAGTTTTTCTTTTCCAGAAATACAAGGACTAGAATAAAAAGTAAAAGTAAATGAGACCACACGATATGTAAGTGATGTTTCAACTAACACTAACCGTCCTTGGTAATTCCACAATTCCATCTCCCCCTATATGAAAAAACGAACAACCCAACTCTCCCTTCCCCGTACAAAGCAAGTTCCACATCACATCCCCCAAGCAGTCAGATACTTCAATTTCCTACTTTATAATGGCCCTTCACATTGTTGCGCCAATTTCTATACAAGTGGAGATTCTGAAAACAATTGTAACAGATTTAGGCAATTATCTATCTTCCATGAAAACCTTATGACATAGTCTTTTGGGAGCAAATAATATGACACTGTATCATTTAAACATTAAATTTTAGTTCGCAGATGAGAAAAAAAAAGGGGTGAAGCGGGACAAAAGATTTCAACCAATGGATCTGAGGAAGACAATATTCACAGCTTTTCAAATGACCAATCTATATCAAACCCCAATCTATTTTGCTTGACTTTTTGCTACAATCAGGGATTTTGAAGACATTTTCCATATTCATCTAAATTATTTTCTTCAATGTACAGCTTGCCCACTCTAACTTTTGCCAATATGGGTATTCTACACTACCACTTCCACAATGAATAAATTTCCTGCAAGAGTAGCACTGTTCAAAGAGGCTAACTGATCTGTGAAATAGACAACTGTTATCATCAAAGTCTTTAGGGAGGGGGAAAAAGTGCCGCACAGCTACCCAAGTTGTCCTCAATAAAATAATGAGTCTCTCACTATGATTTCTCACCTAATCTGATCTCGCAACAGAATGCTTTCTGCCGTTAAAATGTACATACCGTCTTTGAGCAAAAGATTTTGATAAAATTTGCAGTGACAAATTCAATCATACAACTACAAAAAGTCTACACTGACTGCAAATATCTCACACACACTCAAGAATTTTGGAGTTGAGGACTAAAATTAGACACAATATATTACAACAAGAACAAAATAACAGTCTCCTAATCATATTCTGCTACTGTCTTTGGTAAGGATATTTGGTTCCAAGCAATGCTGACATTACCACTTCCAAACAGACTTCTTTGACAATGGTACAAACCCCCCCCCCCCCCCCCAACTCTCCAAGCTTTTCATCCACATCTCCTCCTCAAATCTTTACAAATATTACCCTTCCCATGGAGAGTGTCACAGGCACTTCAAGACATTTTATTCCAAACACTGTTCAGCCACAAGTTGACTTTATGTGCATGAGGAAACACAAGGTTGAGGAGAGTACCAGATTATAAATTGCCCTTTAAGAGGGGATTGTATAACTTAACAATAGTATGACTCCCTCTATAGAAGATATATATATAATTTTATGTGCGTGTGTCTCGCAGCGCGGTGGAATCAGGTACTTATACATTTTTGGGTACAAAGAGTTATTGCTATCAAATTAAAGTTTATTTTTCTCGAACTTGGTGAAAAAAAATATTGATCTCTACCTTGCATATAAGTGGACAAATGGGGTTACCTGCTATTACAGGTGAAATAAGCTAGAAAATGGCCGCAAAGTCTGGCGTTTCTAAAGCTGACTACTCGTAATCATTCTTCCAAATAATTTATTTTAGGCTTTAAACAACATTTTAAGTAAAATTAATTCTAAAAATATCTTTTTCAGGGATGGAGAAGGTTTCTGTGTAAAAAAAAAAAAATTGCTAAAATCCCCAACAGTTGGAAAAATGCCGATTACTTTGATCCTTAAAATTTGACGAGCCCCTGAATCCGCTGCGATGACCACATATATGTGCACACTGCAGGCGGAGTGTCACTGATGGGCTTCTCCGTAGTCCCTTTATCTCAGACAGTCCACAAACCGTCTTTGATTCCAGCTTCACCAGCGCTCATGTGCCGCGAACCCCGGTTACGCATTAAATACAACCACAGGACTTCCTTGTGCTCACCATCCTTTCAGAGTTCGTTGTACACGTATCTAACACCATAAAGGGACACATATTTCTCACTTTAAGTCTCAAACCCAAAGGAGATTTTGTTTTGGGGGAAAGACCCTCATGAAGCTTGTTATCTACTGAGCTCTTACACTTGATCAGTGTGATTAAGACAATAGCAAGCCACAAGCAGAGAACCATTCTGCACCTCTCCTCCCACACTACTTGTCAAAGACAACGTCACCTTTTTCTGTATTATAATCATCATTGCCAAACACACTTGCCTTGCCTCTTACTTTTCAGACTCATTCAACCATTTCACCATTCACATCCTCATCAAAGCATTAACCCCTTTGGACCTGTGACTGTCATGGGCTCTTTGGTAAAATTATGAAACAAGCTAGGCAGAGAGGAGATTGATCTGTTCTAACACAAAAGCAGTAACAAAGTTGATTAACTCTTTATCTCCGGCAAGTTGCTCCCAGTGGCTCGCGGTCGGAACCACTGTGCTTGTGGGCAGACGTGTCGCATTCCTTTATGATGACTTCGACATCAAATTACTTTTTGGCAATTGCCGAAAACAGGTCTCTAATACTGGAAGTTCATTCATTAGATGAAGAACTATCAAAATAGGTTTGCTAGTTTCCATTTAATGACCCATTTACTGACCCTTTTGTCATTTTTAGATTTAGCACCAAAAAAAGGGCCCCAGCGTACTGGGTTTACCCCCCTCTGAGATAAAGAGTTAAGCTATCCTTATCCTCACTTCACTCACATCCATTCAGACAAGACCTCCACTGGAAATCCTCCACTTTTCTCGCCCCACATAAAGACACTTCCCTTAGTGCCCAGTTCCCTGAACACTTTCCTTCTTCCATCTACACCTCGATCATGATCCGACATCGCTTTTCCTCTTATTAAATATCAAAATCTCTACACATGGACAAAGCATCACAATTATCCACAACCTTTGGATTCATATCATACAATAATATTTTCCTCATCATATCTCTTTCAAAGCAAGCCAACAACACTCACAACAGACGAGCGTACACATGATATGTACTACGATGCATTTACAGTACCCATTTAACTGACACACACATGCAGACTCTACATCTCTTTTTCTTTTTTGCAAAAAAATACTCACACATACATACAGCCCTTTCCCTGAGCACTCACATATGCTGTGACATACACCCAGTCTCTCAAGAAACGCACTCAGCCTGCCTGTCAATGCATGGCACACATCACAGATGAGAGAGAGGACAAAGGGGCAAAGGGGGTTTGACGGTGTGCTTGGCGACCAGCTAGCCCCACGCCCACTCACTCATCATCACTCTCTCCGTCACTGGACAGCGTGGTCTTGATGGACAGTGCCTGAGGCTGGGCCTGGAGCCTGCGGTAGTGGTCGAGCCACTCATCCACCATCTGCTTGACCGCCAGCGGACGCTTACCCAGGCGCTGCGTGGCTACCAGGAGGCCACCTTCTGTCGTGTGACAATGCAGCCACTCTCGAAGTACCATCTCCTCCCGGCCAATCTGGAACAGCAGATTAGTTGTGAATTACTTCACAAATCTTAAGTCAGTATATAAAGAAAGTGGAGACAGCAAGAAATCTACAATGAAAGAAGACCCATACCTACAAAAAGGGGGTTGCACATGTCGACTTTGATTCAGAAAGAAATTGTACGGTCACAGCCGGTTATATCGCCTGCCTTGGGATGAGTATAAAGTTGGCTGTATAGCAGGGCTGGCGGTATAACGGGACAGCACCGATTGCCATCATGACTTGTAGTAGACTGTTAGAGACTAGAAACATGCTGTGGCAAGCTTTGCCTCAAATAGATCTGTCTAGTGCGATTGCCACATGCAGGGGAAAAACGAGTGGCAACCATATCACAATTACATATACAGCCCTAGCAATACATTTAGTAAATTCAAGTTGAAAGAAGCTAAGCTATATGTGTCAAGAACCCTGTAGATGTACGTTATTATTTACTCTACACTCGTCAATCTGCAGGTCGTCTTAGACCAGTTATACAGTGGTGTCCAAAACAAACTAGAAAATGTAATCACCCAATCATCATGTTAAAGCCTTGCACTACCCACTCATGCAGTATACCAATTTGAAGCTGAATAAATTCTGCATCGTCTTACACACTAACATCTTTGTTTCCTTATGACGTACCTGATCTGTCATGAAAATGCGTAATTTTTAGCGCTGTGCCGTACCATGTACGTCACGAATGTTGGCAAAATTTGCAGCTCCTGGTTGCCTATACGAAGTTACATGTACGTCATGCTAATAACCTGGCTCTAATTCTTCTGTGCAGAGTTTTAGCCACAATCGCTGCGTAGATTTGTATTGGGGAATAAAAGACGCACGTATTAGTACCAAATTTGATAGTATTACTTTACTGCTAGGCTTGCAAGCGAGCGATAAACACAGATCTAGACTAGCGGGCGGCCGCGTGCTCTCGTAAAACGTGAAAATCGAAAAGACTTAAAAAAGTAAAATAAATTCACTTTTGACCTAGATTTGCAGGTTATTTGAAATTACGAGTGTGATGGGAGGACATGGGTAATAAGAAAAACGAGAAAAGTGACAATCGAAGACTGGGGTCCAAAATATGTCATGAGTGTGCTAGATCTAGATCCAGATCTAGACTGCGCGTCCAATAACACTGAGACATTAGGCTGCTGTCCTGGAAAACGAGCACATTTAAAAATCAGTGCTGACAGTAGCAACGCATACCCCCTCGCAACGAAAGGGTTAATATTTCATCTATGTTAAGAGACGCTCGAGATATGGTCACTCAAAATTTAACTACGAAATCAGGCTTGGCAAAATTATGCACAATCAAAGAAACGTAGAATTTCTTTGAGCGTGTAATGAGGATCATCAATATTGATAGAATGGACATACATAGCATATCCAATGAATGGAGAATTTTTATCTCTGCAATGAACAATAGTTTATTTTGATAGTTTCAAACAAAACGGAAAACAGAGCAATAACAAATAGCACACAAAACTTGGACTTAACATTTAATGTGCTCATTGTTATTTTACTTAGGAGCCATTGGTTTTATGTAGGGCACGAACCCTTTGGGCATCGACTCTATTAAATTTTGAACATAATTATTTGCCATTTCATCCCAAATGTCACAGACAGCTGCAAATAAAGGGTCCGAATTGGGAGAAAAGTCGACTTTCTTCAGCTGCGTTTTATGAAACTTCACATACCTGTAGGACTCATGTTGGGGCTACTTACTGGTTTAACACTCCAACGTTGTTGATATGATATGGTTGTCCAAGAATTAGCTAGTTGCATTGCCCTGTGAGAAAGTGCTTTGCCATGTATGAAGATGTCCACTTGAATGACATCATGACTTTTTCGCTTCTTTGATTTTGCACAATTTTGCCAAGCCTGATTTTTAAAGGCAAATTTTGAGTGACTATGTCTCAGGCGTCCACTAACACGGGTGAAATATTACAGTGCCAGATTGTGCAGAATTTATTTAGCTTTAAATTGGTATGCTGCATGAGTGGGTAGGGCAATGCTTTAACTCTTTTTATCCTGGCCGTACCCCCACAGACTCTGTACCTGTCCTAAGGCCGCCGCGCCACATCAGTTGGAATTCAGTGCATATATTTCAAAGTGCTGTATTTTTTTACATTTACTCTTAGGCTTTAAGGAAATTTAGCAGTTATGTTAGAAATTAAATGTAGTTTTGGGAAATGTATGTGGTTAGAAATTACACCAATTGCATCAAGTAGATTTTGAGGTGTATTCCATCTTGAAAATTGACCCTGATGGCCCCTTGGATTTATAGATCTACCCCTACCCATCGGTACTGCACAAATTCCAGTACTGGCCCCTTCACCACGATCTGAATAGCTATTAGATGAGTCTAATTTCTGTTCGTTATTAAATTACTTTCGTTCGGTACGCGATGAACAACTGAGGCATTGGCTATTGGCGGTGTAAAGGCGCAAACACTGTGTTTATATTGACGTTCCTTTTCCTACATTGGCAAAACTTGATGGTAAGTCGGGCTGGAGGTATAACGGTGGGCAGTATAATGGGGTTGGACCGTACCAGTACCTATATCATGACGGATGGCAGGTCCACAAATAACCTCGACCAACCGTCAGTTTTGTCGCCATGAAGATCCCTACATCATCCATTTACTCACCTCTGATCCCGAGAGGAAGTGCACTTGTAGTAGTTTGCCCTCGCAGTCCACCAAAGGGAGGTAAGCAACCTGCTCCTCGTCAGGGGACTCTGTGTTGGCCCCAGCACCGATGCCGTCGTCCATGTCAAGTTCCATGGGCACCAGGGCGGAGAAATGGCCGCGGGTGTAGCCCAAGGCCAGGGGCGTCTTCCAGCAGAAGGACGGCTCCCACAGTAAGGGAATGTAAACACCTGCAGCCACACAGAGCACAAGTGGAAATAAAACCCAAACTTGAGAAACTGACTTCTCTACTCTTGTTCTTTTCGATCCTCAAAGTAGTAAAATGTATGTTTTTGCTTAGTTTTTGTTTTTGTCTTAAGCTGGGAATCCATAGGCACGGAAACTGAACGACACCGGGACAGTACAGATCGCTCAAACAGAAATGTCATTGTCTGAAACCATTAGTACGGAACGGTAGCAGGACGCACCAGCAGTTCCGCGGTACCGCAACAGGACTTTTAAAAATCTGACACAAGAGCGATACTGCCGCTGCCATAGAGCTGCCCCAGGGAAAAAGTGGCGCCTAAATATTCCCGCGAAATGCCACGTTGCATTGTGGGTGCTCTTGTTTCACGAACATAGACAGCTTTGACTAGGTAGGTGTAATGTTGCTAATGCATCCAAACTAAACGAAAAAGGCGCAAACCTGCTGTTCCATTCCCCCCCCCCCCCCCCCCCACTCCTACAGTTCAGTGCGTGCTACTGACTGAAGTGTCTTTAGGCTATTCCCAAAGGGGGGACATTAACATGTTCTTACGCACAATAGAATTGTAAATGGGCTGATTTATCAATGTCATGCTTATACGGCGCCGGAACAGCACAGGGGGAAACCACTAATTTTTCTTTCCTCATCCTTGCTATTGTCATTTTCTCTGTACTTCTTTTTTATGTTTGTCACTCTCTTGTCAACTACTATTTCCAGAGTGCCTTGATAGTTGAAGCAGACTTTGTGCTGTTGAGGCTAGAGGTGGGCAGAGTAAGCCTGGTTCCGCGTTTCGACTTCTCTGTTCACATCCACCCCTTGGCGCTCATATGACCTTATGCATTTGCAAGTGCTGTAAAACCTTACTAAAACTAAGTCAAACCTGCTGTGCCGTACCGTGTCTATGGATTGAAACATTGAAGTTGCCACTAGCGATACCGCACATTTCATCCCGGTGCCGTTCGGTTTCTGTGCCTACGGATTCCCAGCTTTAGTAAAAGTTTTACTGCACTTGCAATACAAGTAGGTCATATAAGCGCCAAAGACTAGGTGTTACGAGAAAGTAACACACACACAAAAGAAGGAAGAAAGATAAAGACGATAGATCTTTGATGGGAAAGAAGGGGCAAACCACACTAGAGCACCCACCAATCATCCACTCAAATGCATGTACTTCAACCATAAGTGTTCACAGATTTCTAAATGCTGAGGTCATTCTTGAACAAGAAAACAGTGTACCTCACCTTCCAAACAGAAAAGTCAGGATCAAATGTATTTTTATTTATTTATATAGAGACCAAAATGTTTTTAATAATTGGTTGGGAGGAATTTCAAAATTCTGCCACAGCCCTGGCCTTAACAGCCAACTATCTTTGACATTCAGCTGCCTTGGAGTCATTAATACACAACATACACATGGGATCAACAAGTCTTTGACCTTATCTGAGACTTCTTGGTATTCTATTCAAAGATCCCTGAGATCAGGGGTGTGTAAATAAGGTGAAAAACATTTAAGTTATCAAAAGAAAAAGTCTGAGAACTGGGAATTCAATCAGGTACCTCTAGACTACTGAGCTCCAAGTCTTGAGTTTTTTGCAGCCTCAATCCTTGTGATGAAGAATATTTGCCCATAAAAAACACGAACCTTGGTGACAAACATTTGGTGCATTAAAACACAGTCTGAATTAAAAATTGTCTTTTTAGTCTGAAATGGAATTATCTTTGATGTAAAAGAAAACATCTGAACCTGAAAACTTTTTCCTTAAAAAATGTAATGGTTGATGTTAAAGTGGAGAAAAGGCAAAATGTCTCATGATGATCAAAAAAAAAAAAAAAAAAGACACCCTATCAAAGATGAAAAAAACCCACCCCCACAAATGCTGAAAAAACCCCCAACAAAGCCTTTGGTATGATAAAACTAGAAAATCAGCTAATTGGAAAAACGCAGAGCTTAACTGTGCGACTTTCTACTGACATAATTTAAATCTTGGCTCTAACCTTGAAACTTGGCAAATCCGATTGTCTCTCCTTTGAAACTCTTCACGTACTTAACACCGTACACGATAATGGGCCGTCGCAGGATGTGAGCCAGAGCAAAGATGTGGGTCTGCTCCAGGGAGGTGCCTGAAGCAATATCAAAACACAAAGCATTTAACCTACTTGTTTTTTGGACCAGCACACTCCATAAATAATATTTCATAAAATCAAAAACAGATTCACTTACACTTATTTTGATCATAAGCAAACCAGCTAGATGTGACATTGGAACATAAAGGACCTGTTTATACAGAGAGCATTATGAAAAGACCGTTTTCTTTTTCTGGCAGACATTTTATTATGCATCATAAATACTTTACTCCGTTTCAGGTGAACTTAGAAAATACTAGGGGAGGGAGGGTATATCGCATGATCGGGACAGACACCTAAAAAAGACAGAATGATAATTAGAATATGTCATGAAAGGTCAGGAAAACAAAGTCTTCCAAATCTTATAAAAAAGTGAACGAAACAAAGCCAAACCGTTTTGTCTTGATACTTAATATAGCTTGAGGCCACACATCTCAGATTGCTAATTTAATATCCAAAAGAAAGAAAAGTAGGTTCCTATCCTTTTTTTTCTTGACTTTTTCAAACAACTCACACATTACATCACCCCCCCCCCCCCCCCCCCTTCCCCGCACGCACACACAAATCAAATGCACACACACACACAAACATGCACACACCATTGTAAAGGTCAACAGAGAAGAATCCTGAATTGGTTCTCTTAAAAGCCTCCACACAAGAAATTTACACAGGACGTTTACAAGAAATAGGTCAGAAAGATTTCCTGACCTGGTTGACTGGCCAGACTTAGCAGCACGGCCCAGTCATGTTGCCACTGGCTCTCGTCCAGGCTGAACTGAAGCGACTCTGCTTGCATGGACTCATACTCCTTCCAGCGCGGGTAAAATCTGCTCACAACAAAAAAAACCCCAGACAGATTATTTGGTTGAGAAGAAATGGTTATTCTTGGAGGATCTGAAAAGGAAGGAAAGCCCTAACCCTTGTGGCATCGGTGGCCAAGTGGTTAGGCTCTCGGACTCGCAACCGTAAGGTCGTGGGTTCGAATCCTGTCAGGGACCCGATGTTGTGTCCTAGGGAAAGGCACTTTACACGAATTTTCCTCACTTCACCTAGGTGGGAATGGGTACCCGGCTACAGACAGCGAAAGATCTTGTCAGTTTGTTAGTGTTTGAGCGCTTAATCAGCTGCTTGCACTGTATGCTTCCCAAGAAGCTGAGAATGTTTCGGAGAGTTCTATGGTCTGCTGGGGTAATAATATAGTGTAAAGCGCATAGAGCCTTCTGTTGAGCGGGTATAAGCGCTATACAAATGCTATTCATTTATTATTATTATAAAAAAATAACACTGAAAGTGACAAAAAGCACTATTACCAGTGCCAGAATGTACCAAAACACTTCCATTCCTTTGTTCATACCGATGTCCCCAACAAATGTGATGATACAGAGTGAACACTAATCTCCAGTATCTACTGCCCATTTAGAACAGCCTAGAACCAAATCAATACAATGGTCACGGTGACAGAGAAAAAAAAATACTTCAGTATTTATCAGTTTGCATTCCAAGAACATTAGAAATTAATAAGAGATCAAAAGACATTTTCAAAAAATAATGCTGAGAGAGAAAGCAGAGACGAGAAAGTTTCGAAAGGTTTTTCTCTATTATCATGCAACCAAAATAATGGTATCAAAATGTCGTATACAGATAAATTAAGTGATGTCTTCCATGGCACTTTCATGCAAAATTCTTTTCCACATGTTCAGTTTCAAATTGTTGGCTCAAGTGGACTTTTGCCAATGGAATTTTTTCATTTTTTCAGTGACATCAGATTCTCTTAAGTTTCAATGCTTCAAAAGATCTCACTGTAACATATAAGGATTCCTGGCATCAATTGCATTCTCCATTACTGCGTTTGAACAGCCACGAGGTCAAACACTAAAATCACAAACTAATATATATAAAATCTGTAGATACTTACGTCATTGCTCCGTCTCTCAAACTCTCGGCTAAGGCACGGCGCAGAGAATTGTCGAGATCGAAGACACCCCAAGCAGCCTGGAGGACTGAGTCCAGAAGACAGTCCCCAGCAGTACGGTTCCACAAGGCATACAACCTGCTACCCAGACGGTCGGTCAATTCTAAACTCCAGTTTATGATTGACTCTTCCACCTCTAGTTCTGTTTAAAGTAAAGACACCATAACTGTCCATTTGATCAAAAGAACCATACAATACATTTCCTTTTCTCTACAGCCCCACACCCATACAATTTTATACATGTTACAGTTTAAATAATTCCATCACATGCATTTTTTTCTAGCCCCATTAAAAAACTATAAACAAAAATTAAAATCATAGACAATTTTGACAGTCTTGACTCATAAAACATTTGTGACTGTATAGTGTGCTACTATTCTAATCTTTTCAGTGTGACATTTATTTCAAAATTTTGTATCAAAGCACATAATAATATCGAGACAATTACACAAAGGCATAAACACTGACCATTTTGCACATCACGATCAAGGATCTCATCGAAGAGATGCTCCTGTATGTGTCGGGCTAGATCTTCAATATCTGAGAATGAGAGAGCAAGAATTAATTTCAGTTTTGTTCATGGTTTAAGACTAGAGAAAACAACAAAGACACCAACTGGTATTTATAAGTAATAAAACAACTCTGCAGTTACTGAAACTATAACACAAAAAAAACAACCCACCCAGTAACTTCAAAACACCAGAAGTGGGGAGGACCCTGCATTTCCCAATCGGGATCATTTATCCAAAAAAGTGTTTGATTACAACTTATGAAACTGCATGGCAAAATGTTGGGAAGTAGCATTATAGTAAGGTACAGACCCACCATTCACTAGGTATATGTGAATATCTATGCACTTATATCTATGTTTAAATGCATATGTGATATTGACTTTGGTGCTTTCTAAACATTCACTTATAGTGCCAAGTAGAGTGATAAAATGATTTTTCAAAAAAGAGAAAAATGAAAACAAACAAAAACTAATCAAATTTTACATTCCTGTACAAAGGAATATCCTATCTTATCTCATTGAAGATGTGCATTTTTGGGGCACTTAAGAAAAAAAGGAAGCATAATTTCGTTATTTTCAATTTTGTTTTCTTTGTATACGAAACATTAAAACGGTAACAGCAATATATATGCAAATTCGAGGTCTTGATTTGTTTCCAATGGTTCAAAATGTGCTGCAACATTGTCTTTAGGCTGCTGCTGATCAGGCATATATGTGTCCACTCTGTCCTTATAGAATTAAACAATCCTCATCTTACCTTTTCAGGTAACATAAAATCAATGTTTTTCTTTTCATGACATAGGAACCCATGCCAACAGCAAATTTGAGCAAAAGTAGAAATATTTTTATAACATAATCATAAAATGCTCGCCAAGTTGGGGGAAAAGCAAATAGAAAGACAGCAGAGAAGATGGACAGGTAGGTTGGCCCTAATAAGAGCTTTTGGTACAAGTTACACACCTTCAACTGCTGACAGCTTAGAAGAATGACACAAAAATATAACAATTTAAAGCAAAAGAAACAGAAAGGATCATGTATACTACCCCAGTGACCCAAGCAACGGGGACAATCTTGCACCACACAATACAAACATACTCACAATTCAATTCAACAACACCCAAAAATTGATAAAAATAAAGTCGCCTTCTTCCATTCTTTCAAAACCTATAGTGTAGAACCAAGGTCAACATGGGTGGGGGGCGGGGCGGGATTGCAAAGCAAAGTATGTTTTACAGGAATAGGAAACAAAAGGCTGCAGTCCTTGTGACGCGGGAATAATACCATACTTATATCCAAAAACACACTCACCAACTGGTAAAGAGAATGTGACACAGTCTGTGAAGAACGAGCATGGGAAGTCTCCTTTGCGCTGCCGCATTGAAGACACAATCTGCCGGCGTATATCTGTGGCTACATCTGGGCAAGCCATGCAAGGGAGTCGCTTAGAAGCTTTTGATGACGCCTCCGTGGCAGCCAACAGGATGGCAAGCATATCTTCCCTTTGAAAGCGGATTGCAAGGTGAACCAGAGTGTAGCCGACCTGATAGGAAACGGTTAGGAGGGGAAAAATGCAGGAGAAGTTTGATTAGTGTATTGTAAGCATGATTTGCCTTTATATAAAAATTAAGGGATGGTTCTCTCTGTTGGTTTGCAGCTCACATACATAGTACCAGCAACACAAAAACAGCAAAACTGAGAGGAATAGGAAACATATCCGATGATATTTCAAACCAAGATGTCCACCATCCACCGTCAAATCAAAAGGCACTTGAAAAAGTGTATAGAGAGGGTAAATAAAACAAAGAGAAAGGCACATGAGTAAGCATGATGCTTTCTTGAAAGAGCAAGGTGTCGTGAAAACTTATATTCATGAAGGTGTGAATTGGAACTCAATTTGTTCCTATACAATATGGTATTACTATATTACTACCATGATACAACCAAGACAAAAATCAACTTGAATCAAAGATTAATTTATGAGAGAATGAAGTGTGGACTTCATGTAAGAATAAAGATACCTGAATTTTTTTGGAAAAAGCGGAGGAAGGAAATTCAAGTGAAGACAAATGAGTATAAATAAAGAAGATAGCTGACAGACTAGCATAGAGTTATTCATCATGGATAACTTTGGTTTTTTAAAAATCAGAAACTAAGTTAGACGACAGCATTGCTATTATTTGAAAGAAATACGAAGTAACATAATTCTGACCATTTTGGGGATATTTTTAAAACCTTTACTAAAAACAATTTTGACAACTTAAGCATTTGCCAGCTTTACTAATTTTTTAAAAAGGCATGATTCCCCTCTGTAAAGAGCACATCCATTACATTGTATATATATAATATACATATGTAAACTTTGACACAGAAAATAGGTGTGTATACAAAATTATAAAGTATTACTTGCATTGAAATCTTATCTTATTTTCAGGCCTCTTGCCCGTGAAATTTAAAAAAAAACAAAAGGTGATTTTAATTAGAGGTCAGTCTACTCATTACTGACAGTGGCAGCAAGGCATTCAACAGAAAGTTACCTTTTAGCCTACAAAAAAGAAGAGTTTGTAAAGCACTCTCAAGGCATCATTCATTTTTACTTTTACTTTCACAATGACGGAGCCCCAAACCCTGGTGTCAGAAATGGCTAACACTTGCAACACCACTTACTGTTTTGTTCATGATCAACAATTGAAAAAAAAACCCCCATCTTTGCTGGAAAAGAGACACTTCTTTCAAAATAGTTTTATCTAATAAAGATGGACTAAATACCTGAAAGGCACTTGGCCGATTGAGCAGTTCGACTTCCTGCATAGTTAGCTGCCGTGAGGGATGGCCGCCCCCTGCAATGAAGGCGTGGATTGCTTCCAAGTCTCCATCCACAGTGCCCATGCATGCATTCAGCCACAACCAGTCAGAGTCACGCAGTTTGGATCGCAGCATGAGGAGTCTCTTCTCCCTCATCATGGGAGGGGTGGAGGGGTGTGATGGAGATGTTGATGACGATGACGATGTCAGAGCGAGGGAAGACGCTGAAGCTCCAGCCTGAAGATTGTTGGAGTCCCCCAGACTGCGAGGCAGGAGGGAGGAGGTAGGGCTTCTACGCTGTGGAGTTGCGATGACTTCATGGGAGCGACAGGAAGAGACGGGTGACGGGGATTCAGAAGGCCGTCCTCGTGGAGTTAAACAAATCACACATTTCTGAGAGCGGGGCCAGTTCTCATAGGTACAAGTGACACAGATCCATTTTAGAGGATTATGGATTGCTGAGTAGGCATTGGATTTATTGTCACTATTAGTTTCTTTCAGAGCAAGAGACTTATTGGTGTACGAGTTGGGAGAGAGTTTTGGAGAGCTGCACTCTATGAGTTGACTATCAGAGGTGGTTACACAAATGTTCTGTAGTTTCTCCTGTGCACGGTACGTTGGAGGGGAAGGCTTTCTCTTCGAGTTCAGGCACTGCACACATTTTACAGTTTTTGCCCAATTGAGGTAGGTACAAAATTCACAGGCCCACTTGCCACCCTCAGCTGTACCTCCACTGCTACCTCCTCCACTGGGGTGAGCCTCTGACACTAGGGGTGCCATTTTGTAGATGTCTTGCTCCTCATTGATAGTGTCTGAGATAAGATGTGGTGAGCGCCATTTGAAGCACATGGTACATTTCTTGGCTGCAGGGAAGTTTTCATACGTGCAAAATTCACATGACCACTTATTGTTTTCGCTGCCATCATTCATCTTCCACGGCAACCAAACCCCTGAAATATGAAAAGGAGAAAATGTGTTAAAATAGAGAACTACAGTGGTCCGCATTTATGACTGTCTTTGTAATGACATGATATCTGCTGTAATAAGTAGGCGTAATAAATCTCTGAATCCAGTCTTTAATATATAAAGTAGTGAAAAAGCTGTTTTATAGCAGGCATTCCAAAAGACATCCACTTAGAATTAACATAGATCTAACCATCAACAGAACCCTACAACTAATGGACAAGAATCGAGAAAAAAAGCAAATGAAGCAAAACAACATCCATTGAGGAGAGTTAGGATCAATCATATGTGACCCACAGTATACATAAAAGTTGGTTGTGCCCACAATTATAATAGGTGTGTGTGCCTGGAGAAAGGTTCTAATTGTAGTAAATGTAAGGCATATCTTGGGGTTTTGAGGTAGGTTTTTTTTTGGTAAATGTTTTACGGTGCTCGAAATTGCATAGTATAAGGTCATATAAAAGCGCACCGGACACATTAAACATTTTCAGTTGGTAGGAAATTTTGAATTTTGCCCTGGTGGCGACCAAAGCCTACTCTTATCGATTTCGAATCACCAAGGGATCTTTAACGTGCGCAACTTGCACACCGGACCTCCAAGATTAAAAAATTTCTTGTCCGAAAAGGCTAGGTGAAGATCTTTCCTACCATTAGATCACGGGCGTGGCTGAAAAACAGCAGTAAGAAGGAGCCAAGGAGTAGCAGAAAGAGTCAGGAGCCCAGAGGAGGGGGCAAAGGAGGTGAGGGGTGTGTGGGCAGAAAGTGGAGATGAAAGCAGACGACAGAACATTGCTAGAGCAGGAAAGGAGGTGAAAGGAGACAATTTTAGAGAAGAAATATTTCCGTCGCTATCCGGATTTGAACCCCGGACGTATTGAATGAAAGGCAAACACTTTAACCTCTTGGCCACGAGAGCCCATATTCTTGTGGCAAATTCAATGCTGAACATAACGATATTTAGATTTTTAAAATATGTTGAGTAGTTTTAAAAATATTGCTACATTTTGAAACATAGGGCATAGGGTGTAAAAAACAAAGTTTGGAGCAAACACCAATTTCTAGTAGTATATTTTTAACCTTGGTGAAGTACAGCATATTACAAAAATAATTATAATAATTTAAAAATTTAGATTTAAACCATAAAATCCTTTCAATTGTTATTTCAACTTTTTATCTCTGGCAAGGCTCATGGTCGGACCCACTGTGCCGGTGAGCTGCTGACAGCAGCTCGGTGTCAGCAGCTCGGGCACATTCCTTTATGATGACTCTGACAAAAAATTACTTTTGGCAGTTGCCGAAAACAGGTCTCTTTTATTGGGATTTCATTATAAGATGAAGAATTAAAATGGTTCACTTGTTTTGATTTAATGACCAATTTGGTGACGATTTTTGTCAGTTTTAGATTTAGTACCAAAAAGCGGCCCAGGCATAGTGGGATATAAAGAGTTAAGAAATGGATAAACGTGTGTTTTCTGATGGTAACAAACTTTTGATCAGGTACGACTCTTAAAATTGGCCTTTTCACAATGTTGCTCAAAAATAGCTTTGTCAGCAACAAGGGCCTTTCCAGGACGATACCATCATGGACGGACGACACGACCCAGCAGCTACGGGGATGCTTCGACTCTACAGACTGGGACATGTTCAAAGACACCTGCAAGGACCTTGACGAACTTACCGAAACCATTTGTGCTTACATTAAGTTTTGTGAAGAAACTGTTACTATTTATAAAACCCTTACGTACTATCCAAATAATAAGCCATGGGTAACGAAAGAACTGAAAGATCTTATAAAAGAAAAACGGAAAGCCTTTAGAAGTAATAACATGAATGAAATGTACTTGATATCTAAAAAAATTAAAAGAAAGATTGCTCATTGTAAACAAGTGTACAAAACTAGAATTGAGAGCGAATTTCAGACAAATAATATGAGAAATATGTGGTCCTCTTTGAAAAAAATAACGGGTTATACTGCAGCGAGAGAGAGTGTGCAAGTAAAAAATGAAAGAGACTATGTAAATGAGCTAAACAACTTTTATTGTCGTTTCGACTGTTTTGATTTTGAGAATGAGCAGCGTGATCTTAAACAGAGGCTAAGAGACGAGTTGAGCAGGGAGGAGTGTGTTGAGCTCAGTGAGCGGAGTGTTAAAAAGAAATTTCAAAGTGTAAACATAAACAAAGCCTGTGGTCCAGACGGAGTGAAAGGGAGAGTGTTAAGAACTTGTTGTGAGCAACTGGCCCCGATATTTACCTTCATTTTTAACCTGACCCTACACAAAAACTACATTCCTACAATATGGAAAACATCGGAGGTAATACCAATACCAAAAAAGCCTAAAATATATTAATTAAATGACTTAAGACCAGTCGCTCTTACATCCATTGCTTTCAAGTGCCTTGAAAAATTGATCCTCTCTAATATTCTAGGCTGTGTTCATGGAAATCGCGATCCATTCCAGTTTGCATACAAACAAGAGAGGAACGTAGAAGATGCTGTACTTGTTTTTTGTGACTCTATACTGAAACACCTTGAAACATCTAAAACGTATACGAGGGTACTTTTTGTAGATTTTTCCTCAGCATTTAATACAATTCAACCGCATATTGTCATTGAAAAACTTTTGAGTCTGAGAGTTAGTCATCATATCGCAGCATGGGTCCTGGAATTTTTGACAGGTAGACCACAATATGTGAAGCTGAACAACACAAAATCTGACACAATCCTTTGTAACACCGGCGGTCCTCAGGGGTGTGTTTTGTCACCAGTTTTGTATACTATATATACCAACGATCATAGAAGTATTTATATAAAACAACACGCTTAAATAAGCTTGCAGATGACTCCGCTATTATTGGATAAATAAACCTTGATGAAAAAGAGTATTTCGAAGAAATATGTAGGTTTTTTAAATGGTGCAACTCAAATTTTCTAAAAGTGAACCTCTCAAAAACAAAGGAAATGATTTTTGATTTTAGAAGAGAAAAACCAACAATCCCACCACTCGTAATTGAACAAGAAACTATTGAAATCACGGATTCATACAAATATCTTGGCCTTACAATAGACAACAAATTTACATGGCAAAACCACGTAAACAATATCGTTAAAAAAGTAAATCAGAGGCTGTACTTTCTGAGGAAACTAAAGTCCTTCAATCTGAATTCATCCATCCTTCAGATTTTCTACATCACCACAATAGAAACTTTGATAAATTTTGGAATCACTTGCTATGGTAGCAATCTGGGAAGGCAGCATATTATAAAACTAAATAAGTTGATAAAAAAGGCATCAAGAACAATTGGTAGAGACCAAAGTAACTTTGAATATTTGCACAAGACAAACGTTCTAAAAAAGGTGGAAATAATGCTTAGTGACCATAGCTACCCTCTGACATCGGAATTTCAACTATCGTCCCCCAGTAAACGATACATTTCCAAAAAAGCAAGAACAGACAGATATAGAAATTCATTCGTACCAACTGCAGTGAGGTTACTGAACACACAGTGCTACAAATGAAACAGAGAGAGAGAGAGCGAGAGAGAGAGAGAGAGAGAGAGAGAGAGGGAGAGGGAGAGGGAGAGAGAGAGAGAGAGAGAGAGAGAGAGAGAGAGAGAGAGAGAGAGAGAGAGAGAATGAATGTGTTACGGAGCGGGTTGTCCCAGCCCGTGAGACATGTATTTACTTGGCATAATGTCCTGTTTTGTTGTGCGTTTGCGTGAGTGCACCTTTAAGTCTAACTTTTGTAACGTCTACTGCCATTGTTAACGACCAAGACAAATTTCTCCCTGCGAGATGAATAAAGATTGTCATTGTCATTGTTGTCATTGTCTTTCTCCAGGTATACACACATTTCATATCATGTGTGCAACGGAGGGACGGGGAAAGCTAGAGATTATGCACTTTGAAGAGGGGCCAACCAGCAACGAAAGACAATCCTGAACTTTTCAAAACCATAAAATCTTGAGTAGGGACTCTAAATTTACGGATCATTTTGTCCACCATCTTGTATCAATGTAAAGTGTAATGTAACAACTTTTCCACAATTGGGAAAAATCTAGACAATGTCAGGAATCGTGATTTTGAGATTTTACTGGAAATTCAGTACCTCTGACTATGAAGTTCCTTCAAATTTTCCAGTCAGTGACTTAGAATGACCTTGGCTCAAATTGCTTTATAAATAAATATCATATTGTATCCTGTGGAGTGGTGAGACTTAAAACGGGAATAAAATAAACAGTACACACTGAGTGCCTTACTTACCGCAGATCTGTATTCCTTTTCCCAACCGTGGCAATTAGTCAAAATTGTCTAAAAGATGGCCACTCACTGTGGAGGAGAAAAGTGGCAGTCTTAGACAGGCAATCATCTTACAGTGTTACTACAATGTAAAAAAATCCGCAAGGGGGTATATTAAGAAGTGGCTGTTTGTTACAGGTCTTATAAAGGTGGCCATTAAGGCAAGTTTTGACTCTATTGTTACACAGTGCATGTATACGCGTGCATGCTGTACAGAATGTACAGGATGGTAGACTCTTCTAACTAATGCAGTTTTGTTATTAAATAATTCACATACATGCTTCCTAAATGACATCTATCTAGTCATCTCTGTGAGACTATCATACTAGAAAAAATAAAAGAATTAGCCTTGATGAGGTGAACATGAAAATTTACTGGGAAAACAAAAGACAAGATATTTAAAACTTTCCACCCACCCAGCGCGCAACATTTTTATCCCCACGGACCAGGATACAGACCAGGTGCAGTACACGCTATTACATATCACACTGCCTCTGATCAACTCCCTTAGGGAAAAGGGATGGCTTCTTACCGTCGCCAACCGGTGTCCTGTGGGGGCAAAGTGTTAATACTACACTACTCCTCCATTCCAAAACAGTTTAAACAGCGCAACTATTGCTGTACAAATCAAACCATAGAATTGACTAAATTGATTTCGGCTTTATTAAATGGTAGTGTTAATTGCAACAGTGACGCAGTGACAACTAACGCGGCGTCAGTTGCGACAGAGTGAACACGGAGCTCTTTTGCATTGATGATTAACATCATCTACCATTTCCCAAATATTAAGGCAACAAATATTTGTTTGTTTGTTCGTCCTTCGCATTTGGAGATGACCATGACTTCACAAATTGGTCTGTTGACGGTTACTGTGAGTCCGGAGATGGCTGATTAGTCCTATCCGGGCTCGAAAGGTTCGCCCACATTGTGGGCACGGGTAGTCTGCTGTTGGACTTGTGGTGGAGGCAGGTCTGGACTTGCGCACGATGCGTTTTTGTTTAGCCTCGGCGATTCGCTTGGCCTCTGCTGCTTTGGCTCCCTTCGTTAGCTTGCAGCGCCACAATGGACGATCTTGGGCCAGCGTTTCCCACGAGTCGTTCAGGATTCCAAGTTCCTTGAGGGAGACTTTGAGGCAGTCCTTGAAACGTTTTTTCTGCCCCCCAACTGAGCGCTTGCCATGAAACAGCTCTCCATACATCAGCTGTTTGGGCAACCTGCTGTCCACCATTCTGATCACGTGGCCGGCCCATCTGGCTCGCGTTTTGTGGAGGATGGTATAGATGCTGGGTGTTCCGGCTCGCTCTAAAACAGCTGTGTCTGGGGCTTTGTCCTGCCATCGGATGCGGAGGATTTTACGAAGACAGCTCAGGTGGAACCGGTTACAACAAAACATCAGCAGCATACAACAGCAACAAAAACCACTAGGGGCAACAACAGCAACAACAACAACAAGAAAAGCTCAGCAAAGGTCTTTGTCTGTTAGTTTGGTGTGTGTGTGTTAGGGCTGGATCCTGCTCGTCAAATTTGAGAGTGGCGATTCGCGATTCAGTCGGCTTCAATGAATCGCGAGTACGCGAGCGCTCGTGGAGCTGTGGCGGAACACTGACTGAAACGGAACAGTGTCATATCAACGCCTCTTGGCGAGCGCGAGTTCCACTCTTGTTGTTCCGCCATCCTCTCCGCCCCACACCCTTTGTTGCGCTGCTCTATCAACTGGCCTCAATTAGTGACCCCCATAAATTCACCCCCCCCCCCAACCCCACCATTCCCTAAAACAATGGCTCCGTAAAATTCCTTCTGTCTATTGGTTGGACCCCGTTCATTTTGTTTTAATAGGGGGGTTGGACTATACCATCTTTTGTAAAATAAGGGGAGCCATACTAAGTGTTCCGTTCCGTTCTTGCGCTCTTGACTCGACTCAGCAGTAGGTTAATTAAACAAGCCACAAGGTGGTGACAGCGACAGGGGAGTGAATCGGGAATCGTTTGTCGATACTGTTCTGCTGAAGTGAATCGTGAATTGCGTTCCGCAGGAAAGAGTGACGATTCAGTTCCATTCTCGCGCTCGTGACCCAGCCCGTGTGTGTGTGTGTGTGTGTGTGTGTGTGCCTGTGTCTGTGAGTGTGATTTTACATGCAAGTGTGTCTGGGCACTCATGATGTACAATTTCGGTCCCATTTGTCTACATGAGGGTCATTGTGGAAGTGAATCTAGATCTAGATCATCTACATCTAGATATCTCTAGATCTAGATTCTAGATAGTCTAGATTCGGAGATAATCTGTCTCTAGATATAATTTTATTTTAATTCAGTTTAGATCTAAATAAAAAACACACCAAGGGCACTTAGTGTGAGTGTGTGTGTGTACGTGTACTTCTGTGTTTGTGAGTGTGAGTGTGTGCATTTGTTTGTTTTTGTTTTTTCTTTTAAAATTCTTTTTGTCACAGACTCACTCTGTCGCAATAACGCCGCATTAATTGTCACTGCGTCATTCTGTCGCAATTAACGCTTCCTTGTTAAATTAATGCACTTATAATCCATAAGGCCACTCTATTCTCACCCCGGGTGAGAATAGCGCAGGCGAACCTTTTGGCTATTCTCACCCGGTGTGCGTTCACAGTGATAGGCCAACCAGTGTAGCGTTCACCATGAACAAACGTTCCAGCGCTCTTGTGTTGAAAGCATGCAATTTTGTCTGTGGGCAGAGAAAGAGAGAGAGAGAGAGAGAGAGAGGGAGAGAGGGAGAGAGGGAGAGAGGGAGAGAGAGGGAGAGAGGGAGAGAGAGAGAGAGAGAGAGAGAGAGAGAGAGAGAGAGAGAGAGAGAGAGAGAGAGAGGAGTAGCGCGAGAACTTCCGGGCAAAACAAAATGGCGACCCGCGTAGTTCGGCTCGATTCGAAAAGTTAAATAGCCGTAGCATCTTTGTAGACGACCAAATTAATTTACTTTTGTGTTTTAACATCATTTTTTTACTTTGTTTTGGTCAATTTGATCATCCCCACGGATAGACAGTATTCAGAAAGAGACAAGAGAGAGAGAAGAGGGGAGGAGTAGATCTTCCGGGCAAAACAAAATGGCGACCCCCGTAGTTCGGCTCGATTCGAAAAGTGAAATAGCCATAGCATCTTTGTAGACGATCAAATTAGCTTACGAAACTTTTGTGCTATAACGGAATCTTTTCTTTGCCTTTATCCATTTGATCATCCACATCGATAGAAATTCCGAAATTAGGAAAAACAGGTCTTGTTTCACACCGGGTGAAAAAACCTACGGTGGCAAGTCTCACCCGGGGTGAGAGGTTGATCGTATTTCTATTCTCACCCCAGGTGAGAATAGCCACTTCCATCCATGCACTATTCTCACTCCGGGTGAGAATAGAGGTGGCCATAAAACAACCCCCCCACCAAACATTACAAGTAACAAGAGTACAAGCAGGCACCACTGTCAAGCAGAAGACAAAAGTCAAGTAGTAGAGTTTAGCAGCAAAACACAAACAAAAATTGTGAAAGCCAGCCGTTGCCACTCTCTAATTCTAATTTTGTAGCGGTAGAGAAGCAGTCTAAGGCCTTCGCCTTAATTTCACTTCTGACAATTTCTGGAAGTAATTTGGAAATTAGGAACATATAAACTGGGCTATTTAAGTTAATTTAAAGAGAAAGCAGTGATCAATTAGGCTGAGAGAAGGAAACTTTATTCAAAAAGATTTGTTGTTGACATAATTTGTCATAAAACTTTATCAGCAATGGCAATATCAGTGTTATTGTTTTTGATTTTGTGGTTGTGAAGACCTGATTAGCCTTAGGCCTTAGCCTTAGGGTTCAAATACCAACTGATCCAGTTCCTTTAAAATGCCTTAAAATACAAATATGAATGAATTCTAAACATAAATAATAACCTGAAATGTTTCAGCTCTTAGTAAAAAAAGAAGAAGTTAGAAATTTGAGACTCATTTACAAGGATCCGTGACACTGTTGCCAGATTTCAGGATCCAAAATAAACTTAATCCTCCATATTTATGACATCATAGTTAGACCCGCACTAAATTGACCTGGAAAGAAAATTATAAATTTGATTGATTTAGAATTTATTTTCATTTCTCTTTGAGAAAAAATGAACAAAGTGATGTATTTTGTTGGATCTCCAGAATACCATGATTTTTTGGTTCATTGGAAAGTAGGCCTAGGCAACACGACAGGCCAAGATTATAAAACATTCCGTGCTGAATCACATCAAGTGCAAGAGATGGTCTGAAAGGGGAGGGAAGTAGGCCTAGGTCAAAACGGTACAATTAAGTAGATCGTCACGAATATCTGGAGACCAAAGCGGTATAAACAGGGTTGGCGAGGGCTCAAATAAATGAATAAATAAATGAATGTATTAATAAACAACTGAAAAAAAGATAATGAAACTACTAGGAAATATAAAAAAATTGCACACAAAAAAAGAATCAATTTCTTTTTCAAAGGCCCCCATATACAGGTACTGGCGCATTGGTGTCTGTGGTGTAGTGGTTACACCTTTTGGTGTCGCCAGAGAGTATTTAATTATATTAGTGTCTCTGGTGTCGCACACAGAAAACCCGAGTTTGATTCCCAACAAAATGTTAGAGTAGCGTGCCTCAACACCAGGTCATGCCGTAATAAAGCAGACGAGTTAAATGATTTAATTATTGAGATGAACCTTGATATTTTTTGTATAACAGAATCATGGTTGCAGGAGTACGGTGACGATGCGATTTTATCAGCAATATGTCCAGTAGGTTATTT